AAGCACAGGGACCGCAGTTCAATCCCCCAGCACCACATGCCAGCCAGCCCCGCCCCCTGGTGGGCTGAGCTGGCCACACACACACACACACAAATTAAAAAAAGAAAATACAAACCTTTGCATCTAAAATATTAAGAGTTGTTTCAATTTGCTGTATCCTCAGAGAAAGGTTTGCCAGTTTCTGCAAAAGAAAAACCAGAGCCATAAGAACAAAGTGTTCAATTAAAACTGTCAAAAATGACAACAAAAAGCAGGTTTAAAAATAATAAAAACTACTGCTTAAGTATTTGTCATTTTCTATCATTCTGTCTTCCATGAGTAAGAGTGGGAACTTGAGCACTGTCTTATCTTTAGAGTTATCTTTAGCTATTTACAAAATCCTATTTACTAGTTTTTAAAAATTTGCATGTTCAGTTAGCAAGCTCATTACCACAGCAATAATCCAGAGGGTTAGAATATGATGAAACAGAATCCCAGCAGAGCCTTCTATCCACTCTGCAGCCCTCGCTCCCGGACCAGTGCCCGAGACATCAGAGTCGGTCCCTGCCAGCTGAGGGACTTCAGGCCAGCAACAGGACCTGCCTGGGTAAGTTAGTAAACTGTGCATGCATATGGTGTTTGTCCCAAATTCTAACTTCTCAAGTTTAAAAAGAAAAAAGGATGACGGTGGAAGATGAACAATTTATTTTGGAAAGAATTAAGAGAAAAAATTTGAGCACATAAGAAGCACAGAGAAAGAGGCATCAGGGAAGTAGTTCAGTGGCATAAGTGCCTGCCTGGCAAGTACAAGGTCCTGAGTTCGATCTCTACTAATACACACACACACACACACACACACACACACACACACAGGAAAAAGCAGCAATCTACTACCAAAATTCAAGGCAACCCAGAAGGAAGAGTTTACTACGCTCTAATTACCAAGTGCAAACACACATTTACCCACTATCTTAGTTACTTTTCTCCTTGCTGAAACAAAGTATCCAACACTGAAAGTTAAGGGAAGAAAGGTTTATTTAGCTCACAGTAGGAAGAGGTTCTAGCCCATAGCTGGCTGGCTTCCAGACAGGGTAGTGGGCACAGGGCACTGCAGAAGAGCTCATGGTGGGCAGAGGGCAGCAAGGCGAGCAAGAGACCTCAGGAGTCTGCCTGGCCCAGTATGCTCTAGCCAGGCTACGGCGATTAGAGCAGGGCCACGCAAGCAGTGGACCGATTTGGTAATTACACACGCTTAATCCCAGCATCAAATTCTAAACCCAGCCACCTCTAAAAAAGCCCCACCTATGACTGCGCGAGGCTCTGGGGGGACACCCAGACACAAGCCAAGCCGTAACAGCCACACAAACAAAAGGGCCACCCTAAAACATGAGCCATCAGCAATGAGACTCCCACCAGGGCTGGGAGAGCACTTGGCCGTGTGCACAGGCCCGGCAGGCAGGAAGCTCTGGGTTCCGCCATCGCGCTGCCAACCCATCTTAGAAGTTCTTGGTGCCAGTGAAGCAGGCACACAGGGGCGCCTTACCACCCCGAGAAGTGAACACCGTGCTGTGACCACATGGAATCTGTCCTTCAGTCCAGAACCCAGTCCTGTTTGTGCTGCTGGAGGCAGGGCCTGGAGGGCAGCACTGCACTTGGGCCATCTAAAGCAAAGCTGCTTCTTTGTGTTTTGCCTCTTTTGTCTTTTGCAAGCTGTGATGGAGATGTGGGGCCATCTTTGGGGTGAGCGCTGCCCTGGGGGAACATGGACCAGAAGGCAGAATGGGCCAGGACCTCATGGCTCCAGCCACTCAGGGTGACAGCCAGAGGGACGCCAAGCTCCAGCTCATCATGAACATGTGCTGCACGCTTTGCTGTGGAATCACAGCCTTTCCTGTGCCAGGCGCGGAACACTCCCGGTGAGCACCTTGGGATCTCCAAAGGTAGAATCTAGAAATAAGACGGAATCAAGTTTCACTGCCAGCAAAGCTGTCTAAGCATGACTTCCGGTGTTTGTTCACAGAGGCTGCTCTGTAGCCATAAATACAGGTTCTAAAACACCGTGGACAGCTCCATGACTGTGGCTGTGATGTCAACATGGGCCCACCGAGGTATACCCATGACTGTCCCCCTGCGTGGCTCATTTTACCAGGTTCCAACTGGATCTGACCACTATAGGTTTCTTTTTCAATGTATTTAGTACAGGGTCTTCAAGGTTTCACTACACAGACTGGACTCATAGTGCTCCTGTTTTCAGCCTCCCAAGGGCTGGAATTACAGGAGCGCGCCATCACGCTCAGTCTCAATTGCAGTCTCAGCACGATGGTGTGTGTGTGTGTGTGTGTGGTGCGCCAGAGCCAGCACGGCAAGCAGGTCGGGGATTGAACCCCAGCCCTTGTGTCTGCCTAAGCAGGCACTTTAATCCACTGAGCTATCTAACCAGCCCAACAGGTCTTTTTCTAATAAAATTAATACTCTGTAACTCAGCTGCATATAGCCAGCTGAGTTTGAATACTGCCCAACATAAATACTAATACTGATTTAAAAATTATCGCAAGTTTATTTCATTAAACTTATATTTGTGAATAGTTTATCAATAACTGGTTCTCTCAATTTCTTAAAGCTTATTTGGTATAGCGTCTCATTACGCAGCTTGGACTTGCTGTGATCCTGCTGTGTCAATCTCTCCAGCACCAGGATTACAGGCATGCACCAACATGCCCGATTTTGGGGCTTGGCTTGGTGCGGCATGAGGTACTGGGGATCAAACCTGGGTCCTTGCACCTGCCAGACAGGCACTGAGGCCACAGAGCTATCTCCTCAGCCCCTACTTTCCTCAATTTTAACATGGGAATCTTCTGAGTACGCCGCTGCAGGTGCAGACAGCACGTACTCGCAGCCGCTGTACCGGCATCGGCTGCATTACACCACCTTACAGCATCCGAGGTTCTCCTTTAAGGAACTGTCACACACTCACACCCACTCTGCTACATCAGCACCTTTCTTTGCAGTTCTGGCATGGGAAACCTGGGAGCGGCAGCCTATGCACAGGCATATATGTACTGTGGCGGCTCCGGTCAGGGCAGCCCTCAGATTCACACCACTGACAGGGCCCCATTCTGCGTTCAACACAGGAAACTCAGCACAGCACCAAGCATGAAGCCAGCCCACAGCAAACCCAGATCAGCTCTCCACACATAAATGCCCCCCTTGCTCACAGGAGCTGACGATGCTCACCCTGCAGAAGGATAGAGCCCAGCGGACACGCAGCAGGGCTCTCCACACTTGCCACCTACAGACGGCAATCCAAGTCCTAGGAAAACCCCTCAGATAAGGAAAGCAGGTGACAGGTGACAGCCAGGAAGGACCCACTGGAGAGGGCAGTAGTGCAGTGTGGAGAGAAACAGCGTCCACAGGACAGGGGCAGAAGGGAGCCTTAGGCTCTGTGCAAAGACCACAGGGAACCCAGGTGACACCACACACACCTTGGGGGCCTCCCAACTGACTCTGGCCACCAGTACCAGCTCAGATACCACCACCTTTGCTGGGTCTCCCTGTGCTCAGGGAGAACCCAGGGCCCATGGCCCAGGTGACCTGTGCTGGCTGGACCAGGCCTGGCCCTGCAGATTCAGGCTCTAGGGCCATCCCCGGGAGCTCGGGGCCAGCCTGGGCTACACAGTGAGACTCTTCTCCAAAAGCGAATACAAATCTCTAAATGAACTGGATCCAAAGGGCTGCAGATATAGTAGCTCAGGGTAGTGGCCTTGGGTTCAGTCCCCAATATCAATAGATAATAAGCCCAAGACACAAGTAAAATGGAACGACACTCTGGATTTTATCATCTTGCCAAGTGTCAGCATAGAGGCAGGCAGCAGGGAGTCCTGCACGCTGCTAGTGAGTGTAAATTAGTTACAGCATATGCTTTTTGGAAAACACTATGTAGACAGAGCTAGTGGATGACCCAGCCTTTCTTTCAGAAGCTGGGTCTGTGCCCAAGGACACAACATGAATCGGGAGAAGCCACAGCTACAGTTCCACGGTCATGGTGGAATTATTCACAAGGGCCAAGAAGGGAATCAACCTAAGTGTCATCACTTGATGAACAGATAAATCAGGTGCACGCGCTCCACGGCACACTATGTGGCTATGAAAAAGGACGAAATCCTGTTGTATGAGACAACATGGACGGCTGTGGAGGATGTTGTGCCGAACGCAGTAAGCCAGGCACTGACACACGTCATACTACTTCCCTTATATGTGAGAACAGAAAAACAGCAGACCCCAGAGAGCAAAATGGTGCTCACCAGAGGTCGGCAAGAGCAGGCAGAGGAGGATAGGAAGACAGGCGCCTGTGAGCCAAGGGGTACCAAATGTCAGTGAAACACAAGGAATGAATTCAACGTAAACCTCACATAATGACAATATACTGTGTCCCTGAAAGCTGCTTTTGAGGTAAGAGTTCTGACCACAAAATACTTCAGTACGTGAAGTCACCCAAATATTAGTTTGCGTTAGCCACTCAATAATATTTTTACATATTATTGTGAAAAATGAGTATTTTTACATATTATTGTGCCCCATCAAAACCCATGCATTATGGGCAGTCAGGATAAATAATGTGCTTTTAAAAAGGAGAAAAAGCAACAGTCTGTCTTTAAACCGCATGGGTTTTGACCAACAAATTTTTGTTTAGGGCTCAAGGAAGGAGGGAATAGTGACTCAGCAAAAAAAGCTGTGGCAGGAGGAACAGAGTTAAAGAGCAACCAGGAGGCCGCCATCACTCTCAAGGGATCAGGACCAGCCGGTTACTGTTGTCTCTGATGAACTGTTGATAAAGAGCACTTGGGCTCCCAGCATTAAAACTCCAAGCCTCCAAAGGAATGGATGTCCCTGCGGGAGGTTGATCAAATTCCTTCCATAGGTGTGTGGGCTCGGGATCTAACCCAGCCATAAGGACTATGAGGAAACGTCCACTTCTTTCCACTAACCACCCTAGGACGGTCTTTCTCCAAATACTTCTCCGCCCCTCCAGTATACAAATTAAAGGGGAAATGTTAGTTTACTTTTTTCTTACTTTTTAAGTTATTAGTACGTGTTTGCGGTGAATAATGATTACATTCACTGTGAGGCTTACTGAGTTTTCTTAATTCTACATGCTGTTTGGAGAAGCAGCAGGACTCTAGACTAAACCTGTGGGTCTGCTGACACATTCAACACACTGCGAGGAACTCCTCGGCCTGCCCTCCATCGGATTTCACTCTTGCTTGTTTCAGTGGGATGCCGGGAGATTCTGATGAGCCACAAGAAGAGGTGGATCCCGCACAGCTGAAGATGGTTTTTCTGTCTCCGTGCATTATTTTACAGTTTAACACCTAGCAGAACTTCTACCTGCTAAAGCGGGGGCTGATAGAAGTCACAATGTTCAATTGATTTCCCTGAGAATTACCTAAAAAAGTTCTATGATTTTTCTTTCTTTTCCTAAATTTGTTTTTGACTTACGTTTCTCAATGTCCTCCTCATCCTCTTTTCTGGCTTTTAAGTTTTTTTTAAAAATTTATCTTATCTATCCTATCTATAAACTTTAAAAAAAGAATATTTTATCCTGTCTGTTGTGTTAGGGGCTGAAGCCAGGCTTTTTAAAAGACAGAGAAAGGCCGCTGAACTTGGTGCCTAACCCTTAACCGGGTACTCAGCACTCACAGGCCACCTGCAGCGGTACTTTTATTTTTCATAACGAGCTTTTTATTTCCATAACTCGATACCAAAGTTAGGTTTTAGGCGCTTTCCCTTGGCCATCTTCGGATCACAGAAAGTCAAAGGTAAATCTTTCGGGAGTAGGGTAACGAACTTCCAACTAAAAAGCGTCTTCAACTGTGACATTTTGTTTCCTGCGTCCCAGGAAGCCGGACTGAGACATGTTCCCACGGGTGTCCGCACCGGCGGCGGCGCCGCGGTCGCAGGGGGTCCGGGTGCGTGAACAGGGCGGGACGGCGGCTCGCGTTTCACTCCCCGAAAAGGGAGCGGTGCTTCCAGGCTGTGCTGTGCACAGGGCTCCGGGACCTACCTCCTCACACACCGTGGAAAAGCGGTTGAGGAACTGCACGGTGTGCACCACGAATTGGTTGAGAAACGCCACCGTCCTTTTCTGTTGGATCGCGGGCACCTGCGTCGTGTAAAACAAACAAGAGTCGCCGGGGATAAGCCCGCCCGGCCGCCCGCTCGGGGTGACCCACGCGCGACACCCCGGCAGGGCCCGCTCGGGGTGACCCGCCGGCGGTCGCGCCCCGGGCCAGCGGCGGCGAGGACCCGCCAGGTCGCACTGGAGGTCCTGGCACCCCCAGGACCCCGGCGGCTCCCCATCCTCCTCCCCGCTGGCCGGAAGTTCAGCTCCGTCTCTTACAAACCTTGGTCAGGTCTATGCCTGACCCCATGAGCGGGAGCCCGTCCTCATCCATCTCCTCCGCGGGTTGGGGACCCGGAGCTCCCCCACAAACTTCTGCCCGGTGGAGCCTGCCCAACCCGGAAGCGGCCTCCCAATCCCGCCCCTGGATCCTCCTACCGGAAGGAAGCGCCTGAATTCACCAGTCATTGGACGGCTTCCGAAAGGCCCGGCTCTTCTTCGCTCGGCATGCTGGGTTTTGTAGTTCAGGATCCGGTTTGTGACGTCAGTCTCTGGGCTGCAGAGCTAGGAGCTGGGCTAGTATTTAGGTAGTATGAGGCCTTTTCACTAAGAGTCCGATCAGTGTAGTGAGACTATGTAGATCCTGTACTAAAATATATAAAAAAATAAATAAAGAGGTGAGACAAGAAGGAAAAGTAAAAACAAAGGCAGAAGTTTCATCCATATTTGAGGTTTTCCCTGCTTAATACTGTCTGTTGTATGAGTGGCTTGGTCACTCATTTAACAGTCGTTTTTAATTGTATTATCCTATTAAGTGCCGATATACTACTAGGAATTGTGGGAAATACAGAAATTGGTTAGTCTGAGCTAACTTCACTGGACAGGTGTATTCTTGGAAGAAAGAGGTAAGGGCTGTTTATATTGTTTTGTTCTGGGGATTAAACCCAGGATGTTCACACGGAGCCACATCCCTAACCCTTTTTATTATTTCTCCTGTGTTGTGTTGTGTTCTGACAAGATCTCACCAAGTTACTCACTTAGTTGCTCAGGCTGAGGACAAATTTGCAATCTTCCTGCCTCAGCCTCTCAGAGCACTAGATTACAGACGTATGCCACCACACCCAAGTCTTTCTCATTTTGGGGGGGGGATTTGATTTTTTGAGACAGGATCTTGATGCGTATCTTGGTATGGCCTTGACATGTATGTTGCCCAAGCTGGCCTTCAGCTTACAGTGATCCTCCTGCCTCAGCCTTCCCACACTGGGCTCTCGTGATCTTTGAAATATGAAGTAACACGTAACACTACAGTTGAGGCACAACATTATGGAAAGTGACAAGCTCTTGGGTCATTGAAAAGGCAGAGCAGTGCCTGGAAAAATGTCTATATCTGGAGTTCGGAGACAGTTCAGATTCTGAATGGGCATTTTGTTGGCCATGCGACTTAGGGTGCCTCTGAAGGGGTTCAACCCCTCCTGTGTCCCACAGAAGACACTCAGATGGAGGGTCCCTAACTTCAAGACATTTGTGATACAGGAGAACTTGCCAAACGTTGATATCCAGTGTCTACAAGAACTGTGAAATCTCTGAGCATGTATACAGGGACACACGCACACACACACAGAGTCGTGCACACATGGGCACAGGCATCCACACGGATGTGGAGGGCTGTGGCACGGTAGATCACAGTGCACCCTTGGCCCCCGAGGGAGCCCCAGCAGGTAGACTTCAGCAGCTGCTCAGCAGCTCGGGGTGCAGGTCAGGGGGAAAGCTGGGGTGGAAGCAGAAGAGGCCTGAGAGGGCGGAGGACATGAGGCAGGAGAGGTGACAGGGACCGCTCATGCAAGGCCCGCCACCGCATTTGATGGTGCAGCGGCGTTTCTCTATGTGCGACCCCGGGGCCGCCTGCATAAAAGGTGAGAGTGCTTTCTCGATTCTTTGTCTATGAGTGCTTGGGTTTTTTTTTTTTTTTTTTAAAGTACTAGGGATTAAGCATAAGTACTATGTTCCCAGCCCATTTGTATTTTGAAAAAGATGCCCTTCAGTTGCCCAGGGTTGAACTCAGAATCCTCCTGCCTCTGCCTTTAGAATATTCTTAAAATGCACACCTCAGAGACTGACCTCAGAAAAACGGATCTAGACCCTGTGCTAAATAAGTCTAGAAATTTGCATTTTAAACAACCCATTATTTGGGGCCATACTGAACCATAAAGCTGGAAGCTACTTTTTTAAATGCTAGGAGCCCTTTCCAAACTTCTGAGCAGAGCGGGTAGCAGGACAGAGATTTAGTGACAGGCAGCACAGTGGCCGGCGCACAGATGCCTAGGCAGTGCTAGAAGGGAGGAGGTGGGACTTGTCCATGTAAAGTGGGAGGGCGAAGTGAGAAGGCCCGAACGAGGGATGTATTAAACACATCTCTCTTCCCGCCTGTGATGAGTTGTAGATCCTTGAATATTTTCTTGTTAGCTTTCAACATCATCCGCTGGGCATCAAACATTTTCTAGGTGCAGGCTTAGTGTGGATACAGATTCAGGGCACAGTGATAAAGTGATCATTATAAAGCAATGATAAGAATGTTTTAGTGTTATAGTCTGTGTAGAACTTCATTTACCCTGTACTAAAAAAAGTATGCTGAGCCTATTTTAAAATACTTTATTGCAGGGGGGTGTGGTGACATGCCTGTGGCCCTAGCACTCAGGTTTGCAATTTACCAAGATAAAAGTAGCTGACAGGAAGTAGGGAGATAGGTCTTTCTCAAAGTGGAAGCAGAGGGAGAGATGGAGGAGGACCGGGGAGAGGGAAAGGGGAGGAGAAAAGAGAGATGTGTCAGCGGACTGAGTCCGGGGGAGGGACGTCATCACTGTGTACTGCAAATGCGTGCCAATAAAAATGAGTGTGGAAAATATACAATAACTTTGCCTTCTTCTCTCTCGCTTCCTCCTTTCGCAGTGGCTTCTTTCCTAGCCGCACGGGGCCACCTGTGCCAGCTTCCAGTTTTCTCCAGCGGCTTCCGCAGCTCCGCAGGCCTTCGTGGCAGGTTCAGCCTTCTAGCCTGGTGTGAAACCCTGTCCGCCTCCGCAGTAGCGTTGCTTCACTCCTCCTGATTTTCCACTCATTTTTCTCTGCTCTTCACAGTGGGTGGAAGAGGTCTTCCTGGCTTTGGCCTTCTGGACTTTCAACAGGCCTTTCTCGGGAAGCTTCAGCCCTCCAGCTTTTGACGCAAGAGCCTGGTGAGTCTTGCTTTCCGCTAAGCATGTTGTGGCCCTCGTGGGGGCAGTGGTGGCTTCAGTATTTTTCTTTCAGGAAGTCGGGAGCCCAAGGAGAGGGCCAGAGAGAGGCACACTGAGAGGGTGGAGCAGTCAGCACCCGGACAGTGTTTATGCTTTCCTGCTTAGGCTGGGGTGTGAGACGCCTCCAAATAGTTCGAACGGTAACACTGCAGATGACCCGTCACGGAGCACCACAGCACATGGAGCAGCAATCAGAAGGTGGGAGACAGAAAGTGGACCCGGGATACCTGGCAGCTGGGGCCCTCGGACGTGCCCAGCGCAAGGCTGTCACAAACTTCTGCACCAAAGAATCAACACAGTCCCCTCCAAACCAATAAGCAAAGCAATGAAAGGAGGTACGCCTGCACCGTGCTCGTCACAGCTATAAAGATCAACACTGTGACAGTTCTAGGGAACTGTCCTTGTTTTGCTTTTTGCTGTTGATAAAGTCCATACGAGTTGGAATTCTTCCATTAGACTGGAAATTCCTCGGAGCAAGGGATTTTTCCTGTCTTCTTCAGAATTAGTTATTCTGCTTTTCAGTGAAAATGTATTAGTGATTTTAATAGACAGGGTTTGTTTTTATTTTCTTTAAACGGGGGTCTCACTGTGTAACCCAGGTTGGCCTTGAAGTCTGAGAAATCTTCCTTCCTCAGCCTCAGGGTGCTGGGATGGCAGGTGTGCTGTGAGCCCCCTTTAATATGCAGCTTTGAGTACTTAACCCCAGCTCAGGGCCTGAAACTGGAAGCCACCCTCCTGCCTACCCACCACCCATGTGGCAGATGTTCCTACACTCTACAAATCATGGTACAGCAGTGGGCAGCACAACACTTCCTGGTGAAGGTAAACTGCTAGTAAGTTAACAAGCAGGTGTTCTGCTGCTCATGGTCCAGGTTGGAAGACAGAAAAATGGAGAGATGAGTAACGTGGTAAAGACCAGGCTACAGTATTCCCCGGAGGGCGTTTACAGCAAATGAATGAAACTAGAGACAGCTTCCTAGAGGAGCTGAGGTCCCAGCTAAGTTTTGGAGACACTTGATTTTTCTGGGTCTGTGCTCCAGAAACCAATGCCACCCCTGCTTGGCCCACACATCACCTTCTCTAGGTGTAAAATGAGGTGAAGAACCCTGCCCTTCCCTCCTCCTCTACCCCTCACCTGAGGCAGGGATGTCAGTCGTGGGCAGAGCTCCTACTTCCCAGCCTTTCCTTTGGTTCTTTCATTCTTTTTTTTAATACAGGGTCGTACTACGCAGCTGGGACTCATAGTGATCCTCCTGTCTCAGGCTCCCCTGAGATTACAGGTGGGGATTACAGGTTTGCATCACCACGCCCGGTTTCAGTGCCGGCACAGCATGCGGTATCCAGGGTCAAACCTGGGTCCTTGTGCTTGCCAGGGAGGAACGTGGACCACTGAGCTGTCTCCCCAGCCTCCTCTGGTTCTTTGCAGCTCTGATTGCAGTGCCCTTGGGGACGCTGCTCTGCTTGGCAGGCCACTGTCAAGCCGGGAGAGGCAGTTCTGCTTTTTGTCCCTTCCTGACCACTGTCCTTCCTTTTGCAGAAACAGGTCACAGAGCTCCAAGGGTGTGGGATGGCTCGGCGTATGCCCCTGTGGGCATTATCTGAAAGCTCCATTTCCAGGCTCTGTGACCCGCTGGCACCCTGGCGCCTCCTGCGACCTGGTCCTCGGTCTCCGGCTGCGGCCGCACCTTCCCTTCTGCCCTCGATCCCGGAACTTGTCAGGCCTCTGCCCTCACCTCTTCCTCTCTGTATTTCCAGTGTGAGGCATCTAGCCAGGCGCATGGCCCCACTTCCAGCTCTCTGTCTCCTTGACATCTGACGTTCCGAGTCACCTTAAACTCCCCCCACCTGTCCCGTGCTTCCTTCTTTTCCTACCCAGTTGCTTCCCCGTGCCCTGAAACAAGCCCTCTACAAACCTGTACCTCAGCCCCATTTGTCATTCTTACCTGGAATCACCTAGGCCGCCGAACACTGCTTTTTCTGCGACTGCTGTCAACCACGCAGGGCCAGTGCTGGCTGGGGGCACCCTCAGACCCCTTCCACTGTAAGCTCACGTTCTCTTGCGGTCAGGCCTGTCCCTGCTGTCACGTATTTTTAAAAATTTCCCCTTGTTAGTTACTTGCGACAGCACCT